CTTCAATAATCACCCCACAGGCCTGGGAGGAGACATAAGAACAGGGGTTTAATGCTTAAGGTAGTCTTATCAGGGTGTTGTGTGCTCCTCCCTCAGCCTTGAAAACACGAGCTGTTGGATGAGACAATTCTGACCTTCTTTAAGACACAGAAAGTGTCATTTGGAAGCTCTGGCTTTGTGCCTCTTGGGGTCACACTGCCCTATGGACACTTTATGCCTTCCTCACCTTCAGATGATCCAGCAGCTGGTCCAGGGGTGCCTGTGTGATAAGGCAGATATCTGCAGAGCCAGGGACCGGGCACCGAGCCTTGGGTTCAAACTCCTTTCCAGCCTCGTGCAGGTTAAACTTCTGGTTGCCAAAATGTAAAGCTTTGCGATTTCCCTGTCCCCAAAGGAAAGAATCAAAGTGCAGTGAGATTTACTGGGCTGGAAGCCTTCAGCATCCAAAACAGGCCAAGTGGCCTGAAGCTTGGGCAGGAGATGAGTTGGGGCTGTTCTGAAAATGGTAACCATCTTTCCCTCTCTTTGCCAATGGAAGCATCAAAATAAGAGCCTGACAGGCCTCTTTAGAGGATGTGTGGGTTTGAGAGTTCTCCTCCTTCAGTCCTAGAAATTGTTTTTCAAAGAATGGGGATTTTTTGTTTGTTTGTCATATTGACTCCTTCTGCAGCGTAGTTTGGATTTTCCTCTGCCTGAGCTTGACTCTGTTGAAACACAAAGCTTGATGGCCTGCAGCTTGTGCTGGTCCTACCATCCCCACCCCAAGGAGGTGCCCCAGAGAACCTATCAGAGATCCACAAGGACGAGCCACTGTCCCAGAACTGAAGCTCCAGGTCCCCTAGACCTGAGCTGAGCCTGTGCCCTATGTTACCTTGAAAGTCACCACCTCCATGCCCAGGACTTTGGAATAAAAGGCCACAGTTTCATCAATGCTCTTCACAGTCAACACGAGGTGGTCCAGGCGCTGGATGAAACATGAGGGTGGATTCATACACTTCTCCTTCCAGGACATCATCTTGGGGCGTGCAAAAAACACAGAACATGAAGGTTAGGAGCACCCAGCTGCTCTGGGAAATGGTCCAGGCGGCTGTGGACTGGACCGTGAATGGAGATCAAACAGGTTTTCTTTTGGCCTGCAGGTGGCACAAGTACAGAAGCAATAAATCCTCCTCCCTGGAAGGGCCTCAGACCCCCTCTTTGCTCTGGTGGGACCTGAGCATGCCAGAGCCCCTGGCTGGGGCTGGATCTGGAGGACAAGCTGGGTGACCTTGCTGAGGGCCGATGTCGCCAAGATGCTGAGCTCCCAATGCGCAAAAACCCATGTGCTCCAAGGATGGACCATGTGCATGACCCTTCCATCCAACTCCCTCTGGTGTCCTCCCAACTTCCTTCGTGTCCAGGGGTGGGTGCTCATCCAGGTGGAGCAAAGACAGAGAGTGAAGACAAGCTGGGCCCTGGCAGTGCAGTAGGAAATGTCTCTGGGGGAAGAATGTTCGTGGGAGAAGAGGCCACCAGGGCTGAAGCAGCTGCTTGGTGTCCCCATGGGCTGTGTCATTATCTTACAGTAAGGGGACAGAATCCCTTCTGGTGCCCATATAGTGTAGATATCAAACAGAAGATAGGGACTGTGGCCCTGACCAGTGCCAAGAGGATGGGAATTTGCCACCAACGTGACTGCCCTGTGGGACAGAGCCTGAGGGACGGATGGCTGAGGGCTCTGGGACCGTGACACGGTGGCTTGGGAGGGGAAAACCAGTTTTAGGAAAACTAAGAATGCTGCAAATACTTCAGTGACCTACTTGTCGTGTCACTGATTCACTTCAGCCCCATCCATCCCAGAGCAGGATCCCTGATGGTCCAGTTCTAATAATCCTGATTCTGATGAACCCCTGATCATCAAACCGTGTTTAAAGCAGGCTGAGGCTGCTTAACCCAGTGGCAGCAGATCTTCCTGCTCTTCCCCAGAGCCTGGGAGCACCTTTGCACCAAGCTGTGAAAAGGAAGTGAGTTTGGCCCCAATAGCCTGAATGATCATTTTGGGAGGCCGTGAAGTTCTCATTTCATTTTGGGCTTGGTTGATTTTACCTTCAGAAAACCTGACTGTGGAAAATAGGATGGCTGTGACAAGCCCCTCAATGAAATGGAGTCAAGTTTCCTTCAAATCAGTAACAGCTCTCTACTGGAGTACATCTACTTCTCACTCTTAAAAAGCCCTGAATCCTGATACAAAAGACAATTCGCTCTTCTGAGACTCTCAACAGTTTCTCCACTGACACCTCTGTGCAAGGGAAGCTTGACACTCAGGATGCCTCTTGGAGGGGAAAAAAAAAAACCAAACTCCAGGTGGAAAATAAACCCTCTCAACAATTAATGCAGCACAATATGGCACAAATCAGGACAACAGCCCACAACACCAACCACTATTTGCTTTCAAACTGCTGGACATCAGCAGCAGGCAGAGGGTGAGGCTGGTGGCAGAGGTTCAAGGAGGTGGAGTGTGAGGGTATGGGGGACTCAGCAGCCTGGGTTTACAGTGGTTCTTGGTGTTTTGCCTTATGTTAGGTTCCTGTCCTCTGGCATTGCCCTTCTGCATCAGAGTGTGGGAAACGGCTGGCAAGGAGAGATCTCAAAGCCCCGCTGAGACAGGAGCGAGGTCAGCATAAAACCAGGCACAGTTTCACCAGGGCATCTGCTCACTGCAGACGGAGGAGCTTGCAGGAGCAGGAGCCTGTTGTCCTCAGCCTGGGGACTGCAGCATGGCCTGGATGGTGCCCGATGATTGCACCAGTTATGGGGGGGAAGCTGTTAACAGAGGCAGTGGAAAGTCACCGCTCCTCCTTGCTGCAGATGGCGTTTGGTGTTTAACAACCTCCCCTCCGCGCAACGCCGGGCTCGGTCCTTCCGCAAAGTCCTTTCCACCCAGGAAGTCCTCCTGAGCGCTCCCAAGTTGCGGAGCCCTCGTGTCACGGCCTGCAGGTCCCAGCTCCTGCCTAGCCAACCTTGCCGATGCCACCCTCCCTTCCCACGTGAGCCCCTCGGCGAACAACCGCGAGGAAATGGAGCTGCAAAAATTGGCTGAGTACCTGCGGGAGAGGACGAGCAGCCGGGCAAGCTGGTGCCGGGCGGTTCCCTTACGCTTTATTCCCTCCCTTATTCCCAGAGCTGAGCTGTGCAAGCAGCAACGTCACTGGGGAATGGGAGGGGGGGAACCCGGTGAGATTAGAAACAGGAGCTCTGAGCCCTGCTCCCCGCAGAGGCGTACCTTGACCCAAGGGATCTAAAAGTCCAACGTCATAATTTGCTTGAAAAACACTGGGAAAAGAGTATAGATGTTTTAGCCGCGTATCTTTTGCTTGGTAAGGGAAAGGTGGGTCGATGTGCTGCACTAAAGTTCACAGTTGAACTTGGTGCTCAGACTGGGGTGACTCATGGTGGTGTCCCTTAAGAGCCCTCCAGTGGGGGGGCTGCTACTGGTCTCAATGCAAAGCCACAGAAAAGAAGGTGCCAACACTCTGAATGGGGAAAGAGGCTCATAAATCTGCCCTGAGGGTAATTACGGAAAAGAGATGCCGTTTATTTTGAAAACACAAGTGACAGACCACTCCTGGAGGCTCTGCAGCAGCCTTGTGCCAGCTGGCCCAGAGCGGGGCAAGCAGGACAGAGCGTGCTGCTCGGCTCCTGCTGCAGCCTCGCTGTCGACACCTCTTCCCTCTGTCAGCCCCTGATTTTCACAAGACCTGCAGGAGCTGTCTCTGTGATTTCAGCTGTCCTGCCTACTCCACATCAAGTGGTTCAATAGCCACGCAGGGGGGCTGGCAGACAGAGGGGCAAGCAGGTGGACCTCCCAAACCTCATTTTCTTGGGAAAAATCCTACTAGCTTCTCTTTACTGACAAAGTTGTTCCCACAGGTGCTAGTGACAGTGACACCTGACAGAGCTCTGAGGGTGCTAATTGGGCTTAACAGCCCTCACCAGCCTCACCTGGGGGCTTCCACCTACATCCATGGGTCCTGGAGCATATTTGAGCTCTTCTCGGGGCCTTCACTTCATGCCTGGGTTTTGGCGCAGGGGGGCTGGTCTCTAGCCTAGCCCTAGGTGTGTCTCTACCTGGCCAATGACCCTGCTGGTCTGGACTTCAGCTTATAGGCTGATATCCTGGTCCTTGACCCTGTGTTATCACTGTGGACCTGATTGGTATTTTGTACTGAACCAAAGAGTTCAGGATTTTCAGCTTTTTAGAGAGAAGGTTCTAATGGACAGCATGTTAGACTGATGACTATCGTCACAAGATAGAGGCTGTATTTTCAGCAACAAAAATATATTAGCGAGTTGTGATGTTGCTACAGGATGCTTCATTAGAAAATGGGGTAAGAACAGCCAGCTCCTTGAGAGACCAGTTTGGTTCTCCAGAACTGGAGCATTTGCTCCACTCCAGTTTACATGCAACTAAATCCTTTCTCAGCTAAAAGCATTAACACTTTTTATATCAACAACTCTGAACTTTCCTCTCTCTCTGAAGAGCTGGTAGAGCAATGCTGCGTGTTCTGATGCCTGGATATACAGCTGGGTGTCTCAGTGTGTTGTAACCCTCTTGTTTTAGCACAGGTTCACTGTGAAATCTGAGGGCAGACAAAAAGGAGAGAGTTCCTGGAGAGAAGATGCCTTTCACTGTTCTGCTGCATTGGGAAGTGGTCTGCCGATGCGGTACAGCACCAGTGCTCCGGTAAAAAGTTTGATGTTTGGGAAGATTTCTTGCTAGCTGCATAATGGTTTCTTGGGGTGGGGAAGCTGTAGTTTGGGTCTGAGAACTCCACTTCCCCAAGGGAGGTCTAGCCTAAGGCCGACAAGTGAGAGGCACTTTGGCATTAGTCTTAGGATGGGACCACCATATATCAAACTTCAGCTTGGGAAGGGTTTTGAGTTTAGCTCCTTAAAGGTGTAGCTGCAGACAAGGGTTCCTGAGCTGCTCCCAACAGACATCCAACAGCTATCCGTTGCATCTACGTGTTGGACAGAGTGATGGAGTTGAAGTAGCTCAGCAAGTCCTCCATGGTGAAGTCCATGGCAATCCCTGATCCCGCATAACAGCGTTGGATCAGATGCTCAAACTCTCGGTACTGACGTATGAACTCCTGCTCCATGGCGTGCCACACCACCTAGGGGAAAACAGACTGTCAGCTCCCTTCATCAGCCCGTGACAGCCACACATGCTTTGCAGTCCTGAACCCCCCCAAAACATCAGTGTTACACCCAGATCACACTCCAATTACCGGCAAAAGATTTTCCTCTGGGGAGAGATACTTGTGGATTTTCCTGTAGAGGGTCTCAAGGGCTCTTTTTACTTCTTTGCCAGGGTATTTCTCAATGACCTTCCTCAGCTCTTGCTTGCTGTAGGCCAGCTGAAAGCTGACCTCCTCTTCTTTCACCCCTTGAGCCACACGGGCTTTCACCCCTTCGAAGAAGTGCTGGCAAGGCAAGGAGACATTCACTGATGAGCTGCCCTGAGGTGGACTCTTGCATCAGGGCTGAAACCTGACTGCTTTCCTCAATTCCCTTCCCACATCTAATTGAGGGGACATGAAGTATTGGAGGCTGTTTGTCCTCCAGGAAAGCAGGGCATAGGGAATTTCATCAGTTCTGTTCCCTCCCTGCTCAGCAAGCAGCATCTCTAAGGGTTGCAGTGCCATGGAGCAATGGGACTGCTGGAAGAATCACTCGTGTTCCTTGGTGCTTCGTATGGCTTTGCTCACTACAGAGATTTTGGAGCCAAAGGTGGGGTTGGGGGCTCCTAGAACCTGCAGAAGTATAAAGCAAAACTCAAGCTTTCTCAGTTCTTCCAGGAAATCAAATGAAAGCAGGAAAGGCTGTTCTGTAGGGATGAGTTTCAAAAGGAGCACATGTCCCACCCCTTGAGAGCCCAGAGCTATGCCAGCCCCAAGGGATACAGTCCTAGCTTTCAGAAAAGTACCACGAGCACTGTAGCTCCACAAAAAGCTCAGTGCTGACAAATATTTTTTTTCTGCACAAGCTTTTCAGACACAGAATCTGTCAGGCTGGAAGGGACCTCGGGAGGTCTCTAGTCCAACCTCCTGTTTAAAGCAGGTTCGACTTTGAATTCAAAGGAGGGTACCTGAAGCATTTCTCAAGGTAGGTCTTGAAACCCTTCGAGGATAGAGGCTGTGCAGCCTCTCTGGACAGACTGCTTCAGTGCTTTATTATCCTTATTGTCATCTTATACTTCTATCCAGCTGGAACCTTCCTTTTTACATTTCCTGTCTGTTTTGTCTCATCATCCTGCTGTGCACCTCAGTAATCTTCTAGGGAAGGTGGCTACTAGATATGCCTGAACTTGTTTCTTCTCCAAGCTAAGTCTAGCTCCTTCAGCCTCTCCCCACCATGTTGATGGCCCTCCAGTGGCCTTGCTCCAGTTCAGCAACACCTCTTGTCACAGGAGGGTGTGACGTACATCTCTATCTCTGCCACAGCCGGACGTGGTATTCCACATCTGGTCTGATGAAAGGTGAGAAAAGGGAGTAATCACCTCTTTCAACCTACTGTCTAATCTCATGTTCTTACAGCCCGATAATCTGTTTGCTGTCTTGGGTATTTCCACTGCGATTCTGCTGTGGAGAAACACCCTAAATCCTAAGGATTTTCAGAGGTAAAGAGGTTCCTAAATGTATAAGGAGTTTTCAGAAACAGAAGTGGGCTCCCACATTACTTAGGCCCCTTAGCAACTTCTCTTGATGTTAGTGAATCGCGCTCAAACCTGAAGAGCTATGCGGTCTGCTAGGGAAGGCCATGTCAGGACTCCAGAAATCCCTGAGCTGAACACAATCCAAGTATGTTACTCGCTTTGCTTTGTTGTGAGCAATGAAATGATACTTTCCCTCGCAGAGGAAAGATTTGAAGCCATTACCATAGCAGGGCTGCAGGTAGCATGAGGCACGGAGTTGATCTTCCAGCCAAACCTACAAGATGTTTGACAGCAAAGACTGGAAACAAATCGAAAGTAACAGGCCCTGTAAATAATTCAAGCTGATCTCGGCCTGTGAGACATTTTAGGCCAGTGAGAAGCGAGAAGGAGCAGGGTGAGGAGGGGTCTCGGGAGCAGCCATTGTCTCTGGGAGGCAGGGGGATGTCTGTTTGAGTTAGCAAAGCCAGATGCTTTTAGCTCAGTTAACAAAGCAGCCGCTTGGGAGGCATAAAGCTGTGTTAGGCTTATTAGCCCAGGCAGCCGTGCAAAAAAGGGACCAGCATCCGCCAGGCGCAGGCACGCAACCCGGAGCGGGGTCTGAGCAGGTCCTGATGCTGCTGCACAGGGGCTGAGTTGCAGAGCTGGTACCAGCGTCTGATGCGGCTGAGCCCTGCTTGTGATGGGGCTGTGCTGCACGGGGAAACCCGGCGGTGGGTGGTCAGAAAAGGTGTGGGAACACTGGGGATGTGACAACAAATATAATCCCAGACTGGATTTGGCAAGGGGTGATTTGGACACCGGTTAGTTCATCATTTTGGGGAATGCCGTTGCCTTTTGGGACCCAGGCAAGGGTCAGTTTATCTTGTACTCACATTGAGCTTCTCCAGGGGCTGGCCCAGGTACTTGATGACATATTTCTCCATGTGCTCGCTATACTTTTGCTTGGCTTCTCTCTTCTTGCCCTCCAGGCAGTGGATCTTCTTTTGGCACAGGAAGCAGTGAATGTGGTGGAAATTTTCCATCATGACCATATCTGTGTTCACCTTCAGGTTTGCTGAGGACAGACTGTTGACTTGAAAGAAAGGAGCAAATCAGTTATGGAGAGAAGACTCTGCAGGCTGGGTCAGGAGGAACATGAGATGCAGATGCTGTCAGGTTTTGGTCACTGGTGGAGAGTTTAACCAAGAGCTCAGGTGAGCATCATCCCAGGCTGTCCAGCTCTGCAGCCACCTGGCCTTGCAGAGCCTTGGGGTCATGACATTTAACAACTGCTTACCCAGAAGGGTGCAGAGAACATCTCTGCTTCTGCTCCAGGTTCACAGCACTAGAGAAAGGACCATGGGATGGCTTGCAGCACAGGCACCAGCCCTGTCCAAATAAGTTTGTGACCTGGGCGCTAGAGCAGCATGCCCAGCCCGCCGAGCGGAGGCACGGCTCACCACGCTGCCAGCCACTCGCCAGCTGGTCTGGAGAGGACGAGAGCTTGAGTAGCTCATTGTGCATCCAGAACAGAGGGGGCCCTTCTCGCTTATGGCAGTAAACATGTCATTAGGCTGTCTCATTTGAGCCATCTGACTTCACCCCGTACCGGAGGGAGTAACTATTCACAACACAAATACTGATCCCTATTCATGAGCTTGATTCCCTGTCCCACCTGCTTCGCTGTAAACATTGCTGGTGCCTGGAAGAGGCTGCGTTCATGGATTTATGAGCTGCTATTCAGTGGGTCCCCCCAGGCTCATCTGCAAGGGGGGGGGGAGATGCCTCCCTACACCACCTCGTGATCTGTGGTTTGGAGGCTTGGAGTTGTTACTCCTGCAGCCCCTCAGGTCCTCTTCAGGCTAGGGAGCAGGGTATCTCCATGGACAAACAGCTGTGAGCACCATCTGGGACAACACAGGGATCTGCTGAAAGCTACCTGCCTTGCACTGCCCACCCCTCTCTCCCTACCAATACCCCTTGGTGTTTTGGTGGGAGCTGCTCTTTGGCTGCTGCTGCTCCCAAGACCTCTGAGCTTGTCAGAGGGGTCTGATCTGTAGTGAGGAGCTACTCCCACCGTAGTGGGAAAGGAGGGGCTGACATCAGATTCACAGCTAAGCATGTGCATCTCCAGTCCTGTCACACCAGGGACCATCCCGGTGTGGCAAACACCATGCACCTGGCACGCCACCCTCGTTGAATTTGTCTGATGCCCCCAGACTCTTGCTCAGTGAAGGCAGTTTCAGCTTCAAGCAGTGCCCAGGAGGAGGCAGGTAGCCTGCACATACCCTGCTCTTGTGGCTCAGCTGATTGCTAGTAACTCCCAAAGCTGCAGCTATACATTTGCCTGACTGATGCATCCAGCCACCACCAGCCTTTGTACTCACTGCTGCTGAAGATGCTGCCGGCCAGCCTGAGGTGTGCTTTGTCCAGCTCCCCTCTCCGCCGAGCTGTCCTGAACACCTCCTCTGAGAAGTTCACGAACTCCTCAAAGCGGCTCACGGAGGGCAGGATCCCGCCTTTCATCTTGCTGGGCATCTTGGCCTCCTCGATCTCTTTGCACAAGGTCCCCTGGCAACAAGACACAAGACGCGGCGCTCTCGGATCTGACATGGCCCCAGCCTCGTTTTACGGCACACGAAGGCACAGGCCAGAAAACAAGCAATCCGTTGTGTGTACCAGTTTATCCATTTACAGTATCTTCTGTGGGAAGATACGTGAGCTTCCTTGCTTGAGCCTGGAGGTGAGGCTGTGCTAGCTGCACTCCTGGAGCTCGCATACCTGGTCTCCCAGGCTATGTGGATCCTTGCTCACAGTGCTGCAATCTCCCTGTGCAGAAGACACCCACAGCTGCTAGGGCAGGGGTGTTCACCTCCATGCACTTCTCAGCTGGTTTATGAGCAGACTTGCTGCTCCAGGTCTTGGCACAAACACAGTTGATGTCAGTGTGTGGCTTCCCTTGACCTCAGTGGACTCAGGGCCAGGTTCCTTGGCCAGTTCTGGTGGGCTTTCGACCCACGCTCCCCTCCCTGCTGCTTGGTCCTGGAGTATGTCCTGCTGTGCCAGCAGAGGAGCAGAGGAGCTTGGCTGCAGCCATCTGACATGCTGCCATCACTCCCACAGCCTCCCAGTACTCTGTATGGGGGAAACCACTTTGGTTTGAGCACTCTGGTAAGAGGAGGCACAGATCGCGCTTACGTTTACTTTGTCCCTCTCACGGACAAAATCATTGATGCAATGAGGGTCTAGTCCTCCCAAAACCAGAGGGTCAGATCCCTGCCTGCTATAAACCAGTACTGTCTTCAATAGAGGTCATGTTAGAAGTTTAGCAGATTCTGCAGGAGGTCAAACATCACTCGGGTCTACTTGGGCTTACTCCTACTGACACTCACAATGCATCTGTTGAAGCTGCTCTTGGCCAGGAGCAGCATGTTTCCCAGGACAGTGTTGAGGAAGGACGAGGGGGAAGATGAGGAAGAGCCCCACATCTCAAAGATGGAGTCATTCAAAGTCACCAGGACCCGCAAGCAGCCAAATGGGTGGACCTTATTGCAGACATCTAGAAATCCTCTCAGCTCTGGTTCCAGGCAACTGAAGATCTCGCTCAGCAGCCGGGTTGTAGGTTCTTCTAGCCTTTAAAAAGAAAAAAAAAAAAAAGGGGAGCAGTTAACTGGGGAGGGGCAGTGGCCCTGCAGCCAGCTGCAGAGGCAAGAGCAAAGCTAAAGAAAGAATCAAAGCCTTCTGTTTCTCAGTAGAGCCTGTTTAGGCTTGGGTCATCCTTCAACTCTTCATGTGGGAGGACATGCAGATGTCCTGCTTTTCCAGTCAAATGAAAAATTTCAGTGTTTTTATGCTGACGTTTTCAGTAAGATTTCTGTATATATTCATTTATGGCCTTGCTAATAAGGAAATAAAACTCATCAAAACGTCGGGTTTTCCATGAAACATAAATCTCACTTTCTGCTTTACCCTGAAGCACAGCCACTGAGCTGTGAGGAGTCAGGACCAGCAGGGTCTGCTCAGCCTCTCTGCATGCCCAGCTATGATGCCTCCTGGGTTTTTTTGCTATCCAGGCTGCAAACCTGAGACCGCTTAGTAGACACCAGAATGGCCAAGAGTGGGGAAAAAAAAAAAAATCCCTCCATCAGTTCCTCAGGCAGTTCCTGTAGGACACTCCAGACCACGTCACTGTCAGAGCAGCCAGCTCTATCTCATCACCCACGTACTGGCTTCGAGGCTTGGGGCAAGGAGGGTCCTCTGGAGATGCCATGCTTTCTCCTCCCTTAGTGGCGGATGCCTGAAAAAAAAGAATGGAATGGAAATTATGATTTTTCTGCCCACCCTCAGAGAGGAAAGCTTGAGATCTGGGTTTCATTTCTGCTGCCTCATGTTGGAGTCGTGTGTCTGATGCTTAGAGATCCTGTGATTTTGCTGGAGCTATCAATTAAGTTCGGTTCAGCTCTTCCCCCATCATCAGGAGGGCTTCGTCTTCCCCGCTGCTGACACCACTGACAGTTACTAGAGGACAAGAGCCCAGGAGAGCTCAGGTATCTGATAGAGCTCAGCAGCCATCCCACTGTGCCTGCTGAGGCTTGTATCAAGCTGGAGGGAGGGACTGGCTAATGGGATAACGGGACTGGAGAGGACATAGTCCTCATGCTTACCTCCAGGTCTGCGGCGTGGCAGCTTAGCTGGAAGAATTTCTCAATGAACTGCTGCTCCGCGGTGCAAAGGGGTTGCAGCTCTCCCAGCACCTGCTCCAACATCTGCTTAGAAACCATCGGGGACATTAGAAAACCCTTCTAACACACACTGGGGACACCGGAGTAGGTGTCCATGTCCACCTGAAGTGACAACTAAGCCAGGTAAGCAGTATAGAACATCTCTGCTGCTGCTCCAGGTACACATCACTAGAGTAAGGACCATGGGATGGGTTGCAGCGCTGGCACAGCCCCTGTAGGACACGTGAACCCTTTAGAAAACCCCAGCTCCTTACCTTGATGCTGTTGCCTTTGTCCGGTGCATCCTCCTGGCCTTCTCTGCTTCCAGGGAGACTCCACCGAGACTGCTGCCTGCTCCCCATCGCCGTTGGCTTCTCTAAGCTTTCCTGAAGACCTGCATGGTATGTTGGTAGGTGGTTAGACATCTCCATCCCTCTTGGCCTCTCCAGCTCCTTTGATCATTTTAACAGGTTTAAATGTCACTTTTTATGTCTGATCTCATGCGTGAATTGGCTTTTTCCTGTTGGATTCAGATCTACAGGGGATGCAGGCTTTGCTCTCTTTTTTTTAATCTTTCTTCTCCTCTCTCTCTTTTTCATTACTCTTTCATTTCACTGCCTGTGATGCTTACCCCTTTGCTGTTTGGTGCTTAGTACCAACGCTTGAGGACTGGGGAGTGAAAAATCCTGGGTGATAAGAGCATAGATCAACAGAAACACCTGCAAGAGTTTCAGGAAAAATGTTTGTGGCTTAGTTTCGATGGGAAATTGCCATAAACCAATACCCAGGCAGGGGGGAGGGTTGGTTTTTTTCAAAAATTAGCCTTTTAAAATCATAAACATTCACCTGGAAATTAATACAGTTTTTTAACATTAGCAGTTTTTACTGCAGTGTTTTCACTGGGTGCTTGGCTTAAGTGGAAAAGTTGAAAGATTCCTTTGAAATGTGCATTAAAAAAAGTAGTATTATACTCTCTGAAAGAAATTGGTAGGGAAACATCCATATTATTTTCTAATTAATTCTAAAAATGGGTATCATTCCACTAGCCCCAGAGGTCTTGGGTGAGTCAGGCCAGGTCTTCATTTCTCATAACATCCAAAATATCCTTGTTTGAGCCACTACCTGCAGGGCTTTTACCTTTGAAAAGGATTTGTCAGATGCCCTACACGCTGAGCAGGGATGAGAGATGACAGACAGCCCTGACCATGACCTCAGCCTTGCTAAAACCATGGAGAAAATTAATGAGCTGCTTCATAATCTTTTCCCTCACCCTTACGCAATGGGTGATGATCATTTCTCTTGCTGGGAAGCCGCAAAACCAGGAAAAATGTATCTCCCTGCATCAAACAGGACAGAACTTTATGAGCCTGTAAATTTTAGTGTGGAAAAAGGAATGGGAAAACGAGGAGAAAAGACTTAATTATTGGCTCACAGAAAAGACTTAATTATTGGCTCACAATTAGTTACAAACAGTTCAGGGTTTGCCTTCTAAATTCTCCCATAATACTGAAACAAGGCAATAAATTGTCAGGTGGTCTATTTAGAAGCGATTGACATAAATAATCCTTTTTGAGGGCAGGGAATCAACCCTAAAAATTCACTGCCACGGTAATCAGTAGAAAGAAAGAGGCACGGAGAGCTGGAGCAAGGCTGGGGTATTCTGAAGCAGGGATGAGGGATGTTATCAGGCAAGTGTCCTTGCAGCCTGGGCTTTCATCCATGCAGCGGCTCACCCCAACGAGCAGCTGAGCAGGGGAAATGTCAGGAAAGACCTTGGATGAGGTTCCCGCAGAACTTCATCAAAGC